GAAAGAAAGAAAGAAAGAAAGAAAGAAAGAAAGAAAGAAAGAAAACACAAAGCTCATAAAACAATGGTCAACTGTTTTTGACGTTAGCAGACTATTAATTGGAGAGCTGGGGTATGCTGTCTGCAAGTTAAAGAGATATGGCCAATTAAAGGCGCTGGAGACGCGCAGGGGGAAAAAAAGTCTTGTGAAATCAAAGCGAAGAGTCCTTTCCTGTAAGCAGGGCTCATTTTATGGTGTTTATATTATTCTTTAAACGCAATCAACGACTTAAACAGAACTATGACTAAATGTCTGCGAGCTCAAATCTACTGGAGTAGTATTTCCAGTGAGCGCATCTTGTGTGCCTTCGAGTGATTTGTGTTTTTGCGGCCAGAGCTGGATTTGACACTTGCCGCCCGGTTATTGTGACAGAGCCGCTGAGGGGATTTGGTAAGCAGAGGAGAAGGACGGCAGCAAGCCAGCAGAGGAGACAGAGAAGGAGCAGGAGGGGGGCCGCTTTCCTTACTGTCAGCTTCTTTCTTGATGATGTCTCGGGGTTTTTAGAAACTGCGTCTCTGACTCGACGGCGCCACTCAGCCGCCCCCTCTCGACTGCGCAGAATGAGGCACTTTGGGAAACAGTAACCCTTTCAGGCTCTGCCCGGAGAGTATTTTAGAAGCGTGTGAAAGGCAATACGCCGCCCTGGCTCCAGCCAGTTAGGTGCGCACCTTTTAGAAACAGACCTTGCCAGTCAGTTACATCTCTGGTTCTCAACGTGGGGTTCGGGGACCTCCGGGGGGTCTTTGATTAAAGTGCGGAAGTTCATCGCATGACTGTGTCACAGAAATGTCATCCAAGTCTGTAATTTCTCCACAAATCACCAAATGTGACAATATTATGACTTTGTCAAGCATTTTATCCACTGTCAACCTCTGAGAGTACCAGATGTTTTTTATCAGCCAGAATTGCTCAGTGGGCTGCTGAGGAGTGTTTAATCTGTTTGTATTTACATCAAATAAAATGTGAGATGCACATGAGCATGCAAGTAAATGGAGTAAATATCCACACTGATCTTCTAACCATGGTTATTTAAAAGTCCATCTAAAGTTCTTTGTCCACTGTACTATTAAGTAAATGAATAGTCTTCTAAAAATACACACAGAATAATATCGAGGTGTCCAATATGGCAGATTTTAGTTTCTTAGTGTGTAACAGTCCATCTTCTCACATGAGTAAATCACCTGTTCTTTCTTCAATTCAAAGCAAAACTCCTCAAACCACCTCATACCACTGATTAAATTCTTCAATTTCTAAACAAATGACAATTCACTGTAATATGAACTTGTTGTAAATTCACAGTCCTCATGACAACAGACATACCATTGACTGACAAATTTAATGGGTAAGAATTAGGGGGACAGACTATATCAGGGCAATAAGCCTTAACGTCATTTATCCCATACAAATGTCAAGACGCTGCTGACCTTCCCCCTGTCGGGCACTCTGCGTCATTCTTATCTGTCACAGCGGATCTGCGCATTCATGCTCATTAATCATCTTTGGGTGCTTCGTGAGCATCACAAATCTGCTCGGCTTGAAGATAAATCACAGTTTTTACTGCTGTAAGGAGGGTTAAATAAAGGCCTGGAGACCATTTAGACGGGGATGGTAGGGCAGAAGAGGGCTAACATTACACAGCATGGAAGATGATGATGATTCTGTGTCTCTGGATGATTGTCAATTAATATGATGGATGGTCTGATTAGGAGTGAGTGGGAAGCACTCGGTTGGTGTGGGGGGGTGAAGGGTCTGCAGAGGCTTTCACCTGAGAGAACATGGAGGAGACATCCATACCTTCTAAGACGGTAAATGTGCAGGCACACGTGCGTGCTGATTGCATGCATGCACGGGCACATGTGTGGATGGGGCTGTGGGCTGACAGACCCACAGAGATGGAGACAAGGGTCTGCGGCTGAGAGGAAGGCCCAAAACCCCACACTTGTAAAAGCCGGCGAGTCAGCACTGGTGAGGTTATTGATGATGACAGGGTATTAGATTGAGCACTGAAGGGAGGGAGGGCACACACACACACACACACACACACACACACACACACACATACATGTACATAGGAACAGACTCACCACAGATGATACCCATCATTCCATTACACCACGCCAACCCAAACTTGTGGTGTCTGGGGAGCTGTGTGTGTGTGTGTGTGCTTGTATGTATGCATGTGTACACTACACGGAACACCATGCATGGGTGTCAGGTATTCATTTGCATGATATAGGAGCATGACATGTGAGTTTTTGTAGTGATAGTATGCATGTTCTGGAGAAGAGTTACAGACGCGACAATTCTGGATGAGCATGGGAACAGATGTACTAATCTGTCAGGTAGAACTGTGTTTTAGGGTTGTTCCCTGTAAGAACTTTTCTGCTCTATGATTCTAAGTCAAGCGCAGCAGCTCGATGTGTGTCACCTGTACATCACTGTAAGAGCCGACAAATCCGTCCTGGAGTCAGCAGCAGCAGGCTCGGAATTCAGAAGATGCCATTAGATCAACACGGTGGCCGTAGGCTAACAGCAGGTGACTGTGGTCAAACGGCGTGCAAATGTAATCAAACTGCAGTCGCTGCTAATAGATCGTACTTGTGATAATCACTTAGGTAGGTTATCTTACCAATGTCCAAGAGTCACGAGTGCACTTATCAGTCGTACTAGTAAAACGACTTAGTTGGTTGTCTTGGCATTTAGTCACAAATAAAAAAAGTACATTTGCTGTACTCGCAGACAACAACAGTTTATCGTTCCAAGCTATTTTCCTGATAAAGTAGCAGAGGAGCCTCAACTTCACACTGTCATCTTCATGCACACAGTGGTCCATGTGTAATCTTTTCCATCCTCTGGAAGTCAGTGCATCTAATTAAACATACTGATTCACTAATGAAGACGATTGATCTCATTACACAAAGGTGCTTTGTAAAAGCAATAATCAGCTAAATATCATCACTTTGATGGGATTTGCATCCTCAGCGCTCCCTTCAAAACACACAGCCATTAAAAAGCATGTAGCATGATTCAGGTTGCTCTATATGCTCTGGGGCCGTTACCAGTTTAATGAGACACAGTGTCAGAGTCACATTTCTGCAGTCATGCTTAGTGATTACTCAGTTTAACTCTTGTTAGATGTAACAGATATTATAAGACCAAAGTAAGGGCTAAAAATAGAGCTGTGGGTGGCGTGGCAATCTCAGGGCTAGGAATAGTGCATATTAGGAGCTCTGTTTCCATGGTTACTCCCCCCCCCCTTCCCTTTGCCTGTACAGGTCTGGAATTCTTTAAATGGTCGTTATCAGCTGTAATGTTTGTGTCTCTTTTACAGTGGCTCAACTTTATTTTTTATAGTGTTGATCCTCCTGGCTCAGGTGAGGCTAGAAAGCAACATAGAGGGTACCACGAACCCACAGCTGCACA